TTGTTGTTAGGAGCACGTGCTCTCACCAGCTGAGCCATCCTGCCACCTGTTGGCAGCTCAGCTGCAGCTCAGCTCAGGTGCAGCTCACTGGCCCATGTGGAAATCGAACCGGCGACCTGTTGCTCAGAGCTCGCGCTCTTAACCAACTGAGCCACTAGGCCGGCCCTAATTCCTTAAAGGTTTTGTCAGCAAAACAATATGTTCTGAGATAATCGAATGGGTGGAAGTAGCTTCATGTTGGTGTTGCTTTCAGTCTTAAAAAAAAAAAAAAGAAGAAGAAGCACTAGATGCTTCTGTGGTTTCTGAAAGTATTAGTTTTTACCTGATGTTGCTTATCTTGCATTTTCTAGATAGGAAAATGACATAAGAGCTTCCTCCACCCGAAAACTGTCTGCTCGGCATCTGGGTTAGTCCCCACCTTCTGGACTCGGTGCAGAGCCTGGGAGGCTATGATGCGCAGAGAGGGCTCAGGGTCATTCAGCAGATTTCTCAGATCTAAGTGGCAAGAAAACCCAGGTTGGAGGTAAAGATCAAAAGAAATGATCACTGGACCCGACACCAAACAGCCAGCATGCTTAAAGCAGCCGAGATGAAGGACTGACTTTTTCCAAGCCTCTGTCAGAAAGTTTGTACATTTGTAGATCAGTTCCAATTTTGACTTACAAAACTCATTTCTGAGTTGCCAAATATTTTATTCCTTTATAGTAATCACACTGCCAAGTAGTCTACATAAAGTCAAATTATCTGGACCTGCTAAGCTTTGTCTAATACTGTTAATTTCTAAGTTCCTGTGTTGGTACTAGAGGTTACTTTTAAATCATTACTTCCTTTTTTCCTACAATATTTTTCATGGCTACATATGATTATACAATATGGATATGTTATAATTTACTCAACTAATTTCCTTGTTTTAATCTTGGATGTTTCGCATTTTTAAAAAAAATTTTATTGGGGAACAGCCATGGTCATTGGTTACATATTGCTTTCATACTACAATGGCATACTTGACTGTTATAGGGAGGGCGCAGCTCACAGTGACCCATGCGGGCATTGAACCAGCAACCTTGGTGTTATCAGCACCATGCTCTAATCCACTGAGCTAACCAGTCACCCCAGATGTTTCGCATTTTTGCTATTTTAAGTAACACTGAAATAAACATTCCTATAACGATTTCTGCTTATTTTCATAGGTTAAATTCCTAGAAGTGGGGTTTATAAGTCAAAATATATGTTTATTTAAGGGGTTTTGATACATACTGCCAAACTTTTCTATAAAAAAGTTGTGTCAATTTATGCTCATACCTGCACAGTATATGATAATGTCAGTTTTCTCTTAATACATCAATGTTGAGTATTAATCAGTAATCTTTGCCATTTTGACAAAAAAGCATATAGTGATATCTCACCACTGTTTTGCAAACTTTTGATTACTAGCAATCCTGAATATTTTTCATATATTTATTGGCCAATTTGTCTCCTATGAATTGCTTTTTCATATTGTTTGCCAGTTTTCTTTTGAGAAACTACTGATTTTTTAAAGGATATTAGCCCTTTATCATGTTGCAAATATATCTCCCCTATATTTTTCATTTTTGTCTGTTATTTATTTTTCAGTTTTGTCTGTTAATTTTTTTTTCAAAGTTGATTTTTAAAATTCTTACATAGACAAATCTATCATTCTTTTACTTTATGGAGCTGTGTTTGTATCATATTAGAAAAGGCTCTCTTCTTAATTTCTAATTCCCCAAGGTTTCCAAAATGCTCAGAACCTCTTCATAGTTTGGAGCTTTTAATTTCGTAAGTAGCATTTTAGCCTTTAAATTCGTTGTGTTTATTTCCAAAATGGAATATCTTACTAGTTTTTAGTTTCTTTCAGTTCATGCATTAAGATCTGTCTTCATGTTCTTCTGCAGAGTACATGAGGGAGCCGGCATCAATTTGGAATCCAAAGGAATTGAAGCTTACTTTGTCATGAAATTAATTTAAATTGATATTTTAAACTTTGTTATTTTTTTAAAAATCTGCTTAAAGTTATCTGTGGTAAACAACATAAACTTGTTCAAAAAAGAATGCTAGAGTGTCCTTTCTTTTTTTCTTTCTTTCAAAAAAGAATTTATTGGGGAATTGGGGAAGGGGAACAGTGTTGGGGAATTGGGGAAGGGGAACAGCCAAGTTGTTGTCCTTCAGTCTTAGTTGTGGAGGGCGCAGCNTGCCATGACCTGCAAGTCACTGAGGATCTGGATCTGGTCCCTCATGTGACTTCATTTCCCTCGGCCTTCATTTGCTACTCTCCTTTCTCACCTGGCCATACTGACCTTGTGGTTCCTCCAATACTAGGCAACCCTAGTGCCTTAGGACTTTTGAAATGGCTATTTCCTGTACCCAGAATGTTCTTTCCCTAGATCTGCATAACTGACTCCCTCACTTCCTGCAAGTCTTTGCTCAAATATCACCTTCTTAATGAAACCCACTGTTAACTATTATTTCAAATTGTACCTTCTACCCTACAGTCACCACGCTCCTGATTCCTCATATTGTGATCTTTTTTCCACAGCATATTCCAGCTTCTAACATACTATATTTTATGTTTACTTATATATTATACATTATATTATTTCTCTCCCTCTGCTGGACTATAAACCCCACCAAAAGCATGGATTTTGTTGTTTTATTCCTAGGTATTTCCTAATTACCTAGAACATTGGCAGGCTAGGAGGTCAGGGATTTCCTTATAAGGAAATGTAAAAATGGATCAACTAGGATAGACTCCATCACTTTTTGTTCTGCATCACAGCAGGCAGTTGTTAATTATCCTTTCTAATCCTTTTCCTCTGCTGCGTTCTGAAAAGGGTTAGGAAGAGGTAGGGAAAGCAGCTGCTTTTATATGATTTGGGGAATGACAGGAAAATCTCTATTCCCCACCATCACCTCCAACCCCATTTCCAAATACCTCCTCTGTCCGTCCTGCTCAGTAATGCCTAAAATTTCTCAATTAGAGGTTCATACCTTGGCTTAAAAACTCTACTTTGTTAAAAAGCAAAAAATCTCTGGAAGAGCTCTTTATTAAGTCTAGCATTATTCATCACCTACACTAACAATGAGTTCACCAGATCCTTTCCTGAGAGAGAGAAAAAAAAGAGCGTGGAGCCTAGAATCTGAGAGGAAAAAGGAGGTCCCCCTGGAACTGGCAGAGAGATTTGACCTAGTTTACAATTGTACCTAGTGCAGTTTTACTTGCCAGGGCTGATGTCTGAGAGATTCTCCCTTTCCCCAATCCCATTTTTTACTTACATGATAGTATAATCTTTCAATAAGAGGAAAAAAGCATTTCTTATAAAATAGGTTTCTCAGTATAAGGAGGGAATGCAATGCTTAAATTTTAAAATGTGAAAATCTAAGAAAATAAAGACACAGCTGGGCCAATAATAGATAACAAATAATACATTTTAATAGTTTATAAGGAAAATAAAACTCAATTATATTGAACTTTTATTTCAACATATTATAACAAAATTAAATGTCCAGAAAATTTTGTTTTGTATATTTTAAAACTTCCATAAAAACATAAACCTATCTGTGAGGAGAGGTTTGTATAAAACGAATGGAGCCATTTGGAATAAATAGACTTGTTAATATAATCACTATTAAGTACTTCTTCAGCCCTTCCCACACTGCTGAGGTAGTTCTGTAAAGAGCAGTCCTCTGTCTCTTAATGGATGCTTCTCTCTGTGGATTTTAACACAATAAAACATAAATAAGATAAAATAAGCATTGTGCTTGCTACCCCCGGTTGGTGGTATTACTCAGAAAATAAAAGTCTGCCTGGAGGGAAAGGGACTCAGCACAAACAGGAGTAAAGAGAAAGGACTCATTTAACCTTTTATAAGTCACTTGAGATTTTAACTGCATCCTAAACCTCGTCTGTGAGACACCGATAGGTCGTGAGATCAAAACGAGGACTCAAAAAATATTCTTCAGGAATAACCACCACTTTTTGCTCTGACTCCACTCTCCACAGTGTAGGATGTGCATTGTATCCTATTAAACAAAGTGAGGTACACTAACTTTTAGGTAAAAAGCGTTTAAACTTTGTATTCATTATGCGAGGTTCAATAACACTTTCTAACATTTGTTTGAGTTTATGAGTTTGGAGCATGAGTTCAGCAACTGAGATTAATAGTAGAATAAATCTGCATTTATTCACATTAAAGGGGAAAGACCAGATTGGAGGAGCAGAAGAGCCAGACAAGAGTTTAACCTTCACTGGTTGTGTGACCTCAGGCAAGTCTCTTTCATGTTCTGTTCCTGAGCTTCCCCATCTGCAAAATGGAGATAATAATACATGGAGTAGTAATGAGGACTGAAGAGTTAATCATATAATATACCTGAGAGTCTGGCTCATTGGAAGCATTCAACAAGCATTAGTCATTTTTGTTGGCTAACCCACAAAACAGACAGTGGAGTTGCATGTAGTGGAGTGGAGCTAGGTGCATGCTGGGAGACCAAGGAGAAAGCAGTGAGGGATGCACATAACATGTGCTTGCTGTGCTGACATCTAGTATCCACTGGTCACCCTCAAGTGTCCTCTTGGTTCTGCTCGAGGGTGAAGATTTAGTGCATCAGGCAGCCGGGGCCTGCTTTTTTAGCTCAAACTCCTGACTGTTAGTCCCAAATAGGAAGACCTCTCTTGGCAGGGATCCTCTTGAAGCCACACTTGTCACGCTGTCACATCCCTCAAAACATCCAGCTCACCATGAATCATGAAGAAATTTATTCCTAATGATATCTTGGCAGAGGGATGTGGAGACAGGGTGGTAACAGATTCATAGTGTTCACTTTCTAACACAAACGATGCAGTTCACTTTGGATGTGTCTATTCTTCATCTGCCAGTTGCCTCATTTCCTTTCTCTCTTCCCACACCACCTTCAAGAGGCCTCTCCATTGCCCTAAATATTGGGTTGTCAGAAAAGTCATGACGCATTTTTGCAACAAAAAACAGAAAAAAATACGTCATAACTTTTCCGACAACCCAGTAGTTCGGCTCTGGCTCTTTGTTCCTCAACCAAACAAGACCCTGGGAATTAGACCAACAGTGACCATTTCTAATTAATCTAGCGTGCACCTCGGGGATTTCCCACCCTTTTACATGCAGCTTATCAAAGTATTCACCCAGTACAAATTAATCTGTTTTTCAGAAAATTTCTGTTGGTAAGAAAATGTTCTTGGGGCCAGCCGAGTGGCTCAGTTGGTTAAGAGCTGGCTTGGGACGCCAGAGGGCCCTGGTTCGGATCCCACATGGGGCCAGTGACACTGCCCTCTACAGCTAAGATGGTGAACAACAGCTTGACCTGGAGCTGGGCTGCC